GGGGAGAGCTGAGGGAACGGGGAGAGCTGAGGGGAACGGGGAGAGCTGAGGGGATGGGGAGAGCTGAGGGGAACGGGGAGAGCTGAGGGGAACGGGGAGAGCTGAGGGGAACGGGGGGAGCTGAGGGGACAGGGGACAGCTGAGGGGACGGGGAGAACTGAGGGGAACGGGGAGAGCTGAGGGGACTGAGGGGACGGGGAGAGCTGAGGGGACGGAGGGGATGGGGAGAGTGAGGGGACCCCCGGGATGGGGAGACTCCCGGGGATGGGGAGAATGAGGAAACCCCCGGGCTGAGGGGACCCCCGGGATGGGGAGAAGGAGCCCCTGAGCCGATGGGGTTTGAGATTCAGGGCGGGGGTCCCTCCCCAGATCCCCCCGGTGAAGTTTGACAGTTCTGGAGGGTTTTTAGGAAGGTTTGACCGTTCCAGTTTTTTTTTTTTTAGGAGGGTGGGGGGTTTTGTAGGGGGTTTGACCATTCCAGGGGGGTTTTAGGAGTGTTTGACCGTTTTGGGGGTTTTGCAGGAGGGTTTGGGGGGTTTTGTGAAGGTTTTAACTGTTCTGGGGGTTTTTTTTAGGATAATTTGACCATTTCAGGGGTTTTGCAGGAGGGTTTGTGGAGTTTTGTGAAGAGTTTGACCATTCCAGGGGGGGGTTTTAGGAGGGTTTGACCGTTCTGGGGTTTTTTTAGGATAATTTGACCATTCCGGGTTTTTTTTAGGAGGGTTTTGGAGCGGGGGCTGGAGCTGGAGCTGTGAAATGGCTGCCAAGGTGTTCGAGAGCATCGGGAAGCTCGGCCTGGGCTTAGCTGTGGCGGGTGGAGTGGTCAACTCTGCTCTTTACAACGGTGAGTGAACACCCCCAGACCCCTTTATTTTGTTTTTTTTTTCCACACCATTACTTCTGAGCTCTTTTATTGCCCAATAAAACCCGACCGTGGCTGTTTTGTACCACAAGCATTGCGAGTTTTTTTCCTTAAAACTCCCGGAGCTGCTCCAGACCGTGGAGTTCCAAACGATCCCGTTAATTAAAGTTTTAATTCTCTCTCGGCAGTGGACGCAGGACACAGAGCTGTGATTTTTGACCGTTTCCGGGGCGTTCAGGACGTGGTGGTGGGGGAGGGCACCCATTTCCTGATCCCCTGGGTGCAGAAACCCATCATCTTCGACTGCCGCTCGCGGCCCCGCAACGTCCCCGTCATCACCGGCAGCAAAGGTGGGTGCAGAGCCCAYGGGGTGGGGAATTGGGGTGTCCTGAGGGTCCTTCCCACCCCGGCTGGGCCAAGAGATCGGGATTGATTTGGTCTCTTTAATAAGGAATGCGTTAAGGAGCTTTTTCTTTGGTTCCAAATATTTGGGGTTGGGAGATCCTCCAGTTCCTCCCAGTCTAAACCTTTCGTTGATTCTGTGGTGATCCCAGTTTGGCACAGAAATTTTGGCACGGTTTGGTCTCAAATGTTTGGGATTGGAAAGGAACTCTGGAGATCCCCCCAGTCTGAACCATTCCTGGGCCTTGGTGATCTCAGTTCAGCACAGGAATGGTTTAATTTCCTCTTTCTTTGGTCCCAAATGTTTGGGGTTGGAAGAATCCTCTGGAGATCCTCCAGTTCCTCCCAGTCCAAACCATTCCTGGGCTCTGTGGTGATCCCAGTTTGGCACTTTCAGGAATGGTTTGATCTCCTCAATTAAAAACCAGTTAAAGAGCTCTTCCTTTGGTGCTGTGAATCACTGAATCCCAAATATTTGAGGGTTTGGTCCCCAAACCAAATTCGGGGAGTTGATTGTTCCTCCTGGAGGGTTCAGGGGAGCCCCTCGCTCACCCCCTGCCCCTCTCAGACCAACCCCAATGTATTTTCTGTCCCAAACCCAATTTTTGGAGTTTCCAGCTCCTC